CGAAAACCATTCGTTAAATGTCTCGAAACTTTTCTCTAAAAAAATACGAACTCAGAGAAAGACGCAGTATCCCATCCTTCGAGACGATCTCGGAAATCCCATAGTTGATGCCCAGTTAACCGCGGATAGCTTCAATGATTTCCTGTCCAAAACGTTTATTGAAGACTCGACCACTCCGCTTCCGACCATCCAGTCATTGACTGGGGCAGTTCTAGAAACTATAACTTTCACTCTGTGGGATGTGACTGTTGCGATTCGGCGTTTTCGTCAATCTTATAGTCTAGGCCCTGATGGTGTCCCTGTAAGCATTTTAAAAGCCGATGCAAACACGATCTCCCCATCCCTCTTATGCAAGATATTTAATCTTGCTCTTGAAAGTGAAACTTATCCTACCTTGTGGAAGGAATCACACACTTTGCCCATTTCTAAGCACGGCAAATCTACATCATTTGATGACTTTCGGCCAATAAACACCCTCCCTGCAGTTTCGAAAATCTTAGAGACATTGATCAAGGATAAGATGATGTGTCACTTAACAGCGAATAACTTACTGAGTGCTGCTCAGCATGGATTCCTCAAAGCTCGATCTTGTGACACCTGTCAACTCTCTTTCTTTGACTATGTTCTCCAAACTAGGGACCTTGGTTTTGCTCTTTACACAGTATATTTCGATTTCACTAAGGCTTTTGACCGTGTTCACCATGCACTTCTTCTCTTGAAATTGTCCTCTTTCGGAATAGGTGGCAAACTTTTAAATTTTATATCTTCTTACCTGGGCACTCGTACACAACGAGTTAAGATTTCCAATACCATCCCCAACCCCACACGTGTGAGGGGTCGAGTCATTCAGGGTAGTGTACTGGGCCCGCTTTTATTTTGCCTTTCGTTAATGATGTATCCGATTTATTTCAGAATGGTAAGCCTTTCATGTATGCCGATGATCTTAAGGTTGCATATCGATATAAGCCGGCAGATCATGACATCGTGCTTGAGCTCCTAAAGAGCGATCTACAGGCTTTCACCCAGTGGTGTCGCACACGGCGCCGTTCTCTTTCTTGGCATAAGTGCTCAGTCATGGTTGTTGGCGACGACCGCCAACCTCAACTAAGTATTGAAGGTCACGCCATAAATGTGCCAGGGGTTATAAAGGATTTGGGCGTTTTATACTCCAAGAGTCTCAATCTCTGGGAGCCCTGTGCCTTGATAGTCTCTAAAGCACGTAGAACGACCGGGTTTATCCTCCGAAATGTTAAAACTAGGGACATTAGAATGCGACTTTTCAACATGTACGTTAGACCTGGCCTGGAATACTGTTCGTTTTTATTCAGCCTCATGCGTGCTACTGAGCGGAAGAAAATAGAATCCGTTCAACACTTTTTTACCAAGAGAATTTTAACCCCGGAACACCGACATTTGTCTTACCAAGAACGTTGCCGGCTTACAGGCCTCGGTCCTTTATGGTTCCGTAGATTACAAAAGGGACTATTTTTGCTATTTAAACTCTTATATAATCACACATTTAACCCACTCACCTCTTTAAGACATCATATCCACCCACGACGTAACAGTCACCGTGAGGTCTTCTTATTTCTGCCTCTGGCACGTACTGTTAAATATCGTCGGTTCTTTTCTGTAAATGCAATTGCTATTTGGAATAAACTACCCATGAGTGTGAAAACTCTGCAAAATTATCCTTCATTTAAGAGAACTATTACTCGATTTTTGCATTCAGAAAAGCTCCCACAATTTTTTGGGGCTGAATCTACTGATCGACTGTACCTTAGCGATGGCGTTTGTGGTCTCTGAACACTATGGCCGGTCTCACCAGCTGTTCCTCAACGCCTCTACTTTGGCTATCCCCAACTTCATGAAAGGAATTTGACGTCCGATAGTCTCCGATACCGTGCAACCTTCGCCCCTTCTTGACGGTCGATATTCTACCACCGCCGGCAGTTTTTTCTCCTGAGCCCTCCAAACCATAAAACCACCATCAACTATATTTTTATCCCTTTAGCTCAGGAATTTTTTTCACTGCTGGTCGGATTTGTGTATAATCGCCTCCCTTGACAATCCCTGTAAACTGGCATTAAATAAATAAAATTTTTATTTAATTTAACTTAATTTAAATTTAATTTAATTTAATTTAAAAACGTGCCTGGAGTTATTAAGGATCTGAGTGTATCCTACTTCA